AGCAGGAGAAATCCAGAACAAACCATCCTGCCACAAGGGACCTGGAGCTTTTGGGGCTGTGAATTTTGACCTTCTTTAGTTCTTCTAAGAGTTAACCCAGCGAAACAGGTGCCCCTTGCTACAAGCCCTCTCCCAGAATTGCCACTTCACAAGAAAAATGTTGGCAGTGATACTGCTTTTCTTTAAAAAAGAAATAACCAGTGCCACATCTGTAACACCTCTTGAGTTTGAATTTCCTCATAAAGACAAACCCTGTGAGTGTCCTCCTATGGAAACGGGTGTCCTGCGATCCCGGTCATGGCAATTTCCCCTTAACTCACTGCCAAGCTGCTTTGGAAGTTGTCAATAAGCGACAGAAGAACCTTTTCCACGTTGCTAAATGGGCATTTCCAGTACCAGCTCCAGCACTAACTCAGCAGTGTGATCCATCAGCATTTAAGCTCTTTTCTAGGAGCCTCCGGGAGCCAGGGATGTGCACTGGCAGGGTGTGAGGAACTGCTGGGAAGTGATTTTTATCCAGTTGGTTACAGGTGGATCCCTGAGGAAGTGATAGTTTGCTTCTCTGGAGTAGCCAGCATGAACAATCGTATCCTGCTGGCCTGGGGACATCTGGGAGCCGTTGGCCCATTTGTGATGATGTGCTTGGTACAACACTAAAGGTTGGTCTTGTGATCTGGGCTGAGCAATCTCGGTCTCCCCCTTCAGCCTGCGCAGGCATTTAGACATCTGATCCTATCAAAGAGAAGCACTCATTAAAGTCCACATCTGTGGGTTTGTTAGGTTTTTTTCCCCAAATTCTACAATTTCCAGGTTACAAACTCTACAGCAATTTATTTCACATGACACATAAATATTTGGAGCCCTTCCAAAATGAAAAGGCCCTTGAGAACATATCCATTGGAAGGAAATGCAAAATCTGGTCATTAAAAATATCCTGACATGGACTCTACAAAAGCCAGGCCTTTTACAGCAACACATAATGTGGAAAACGGACCAGGGCGCTGATGCAACCTTTGCAAAAGCCAGAAAGTGATGGGCAGAGTCCTCCAGCAGCAGCAGATGAGCTGGTGGTTCACAAAGCACTGATTTGTGAGAGTTTGGTTTGCAGATAACCTGCAGGATTTGAAAACTGTTTTGGGTGGGTATGGTAGTGTTGGGCTGATGGCTGGACTAGATGAGCTTATAGGTCTTTCCAACCTTATTGATTCTGTGATCCTGGGTGGGAGAAAGCAAAGGAGCTCCCTGGTTGTACTATTTCTGTAACTTCAGGCATGTTCCTAAAAAAAGCACGAAGTCAGAAACTGACCCATGACTGCATTTGCAAATTAAAAAAAAAAGGAAATAAGAAAGCCCTTCTCTTCAGAATTTCTTATTTAGAAATAAAAATGCCAGCAAAACTATGACTGAAAAAATAATTGCTCTGCACTTCAAAATACACACACACGGGTTGTTGTCCACCATACCCATAGGCATGGCTTTGGTTTCCTACAATTCCCATTTGTGCCTGACCACTTTGCACTGGCACAGCCGGTGCTCACAGCATAACAGCTGTGGTGTCCATATCCTGCACTGGGTTCAATAGTTTCATTTTAGTAATTCACAGAATCACAGAATGGTTTGGGTTGGAAGGGACCTTAAAGCCCACCCAGTCCTACCCTCTGCCATGGGCAGGGACACCTTCCACCAAACCAGGTTGCTCCAAGCCTCATCCAGCCTGGCCTTGGACACTTCCAGGGATGGGGCATCCACAGCTTCTCTGGGCAACCTGTCCCAGTGCTCCCCACCCTCTCCAGGAAGAATTCCTTCCTGATTCCCAGCTCAATCTCCCTCTTTCAGTTTAAACCTGTTACCCCTTGTCCTGCCAATTCCCACTGCTGGGGCAGAGCAGAGGACAGGCTCCTTTCACACAGACCACTGTCTTGGGTACCCCAAAGTATACAGATCTCAAACTAAGAACAATGGATGAAGGTTAAAAATAAATAAAAAGCCTTTTAATACATTTTGAGTTTGTACTTGGACTTGCTAAAGCAGTTGCCTACCTGGTCTGCAGTACAAGTCTCTGGGAGGCGGAAGATGAAGATGTGCCGTCTTGCTCAGCCCAATCTGCAGCTGAGCAGTACAAGCAGCTCCTTCTTGGAGGGCACCTTGGTGTCAAACAGCACCTTCTGCTTGCCTAAACAAACAGAGGCTACATCGAGGATGCTTGGTTAGGACCAAGGGTTAGGCAATGCTGAGAGCAGAGGTGAACCTGGAAGAGCTGCTCCAGTGGTCCCTGAAGCATGGTCCTTCCCTGCAGGTAAGTGTAAAAGCAGGTTCCCAAGCAATCAGACCTTGTGCGTCTGCACTGTCTGTCCGTCTGCCCATCGGGTTGTCTGGGAGCTGTGACAGAGGTCCAGTACTCAAGAGCAGGAAATTCCTGCAAGCTGTATGTAAATCAGGGTCTGGAGAGAGGAGAAGCCACTGCGTCTGCTAAGAACAGGCAGGAAGATGCTGCTTATCCTCTCCAAGAGGAAACAGCACACAAGTCCCCAGCACGTGGAGGCCAGGGCCAAGCCAGGAGGCGTGCAACGCGCTAGCAAGCTGGGGCACACGGCAGGGTGCTGAGCACAGCGGTAGGGCTGGGAACGTTGGTGTGCTTAGGGTACAGAGGATGGAAAGATGTGGAGATGCATTTCTTTGATTATATTTTTTTAAACATCTATACCAGTCAGTTGAGCACTTCCCAACTCTGCTGAAAAATGGGAAGCCAAAATATGGGCAGATTTCCAGACAACTGCAAAATCGTACTGCCGAAGTGTATGTCAGGGAATTCAAGTGAAAAATAGATATATCATTATTTACAGAATGTACGTACATGTATGTTCTTCAATATTAAGAATGCATAGAAATCACCATATCAGTATAACAGCGTGTTTGCACATATCGAGGTGGTGCTAATAATTAATTTTATAATGTGTTCTAACATCTCAAGATTAAAATATCTCTTTTTTTACCTGTAGTGCCACTAGTAAAACAGACAATTGATAGATCTTCTGGTCGAGGAGGCTAGAAATACACAAGGAGGATAAGAAAAACGCATCAATCAAATGCGGAAGGGTCAGCGATAGACTGTTGTCCTTGTATAAACTTAAAGACCAAGCCAGTTATATTTCAGCTTTGCCACAAAAGGCTCTCATTCCCCTTGGCAGAAATAAAAGGCCATCATAAAACTATTTTATCATGTTTCTGTATTACTCCCTTGCGCTTTGCTCCAGCTGCATTAAGGGCATGCTCTAGTATAAGATGACTCTGATGGATGTTTGTGTCTTGCAGTTAATATTTCCAACGACAGCACCTGTACCTGTAGGCGTGTGGGAAAACTTGAGATAATTTACTGATTTCCAGATAAATTCTGGCAATGGGTGGTTATCCACAACAGGGGACAGCTACCCAAAGCTACTGATGGCTCACGTTTCCAGTAGTAACTCCGGATTCTCAGCACTGCTGCATGTGTGCACTATTTTGGGTCACGAATGACTAAATAAGCAGCCTGAAAGATCAGAAGCTGCTTTTGAAAGTTTTGCAGGAGGATGAACAGCCAGTGAAAAATATCAATGCAATTTTCCAGGGAAATACTGCCAAGTACCTTTTCTGAGCTATAGGAATCCTATCGGAAAGCCAAGGGTGCACACACATTCCCCAGTGCTGCCCGGGGAATGTAGGGGAATTAGCATGGCTTAACAATGGCATTTAATTACCATCCCATTAACGTGTTCAGCAAGGATGAACTGCCTCAGTTAAGTGGCCCAGGCAGAGGGTTTGAAGCAAATACCACCCATCTCCAGTGGATGGTATCGACAGTCCCTGGGCTCCTCCACTGCCTCCCGCATGGAGAGGGGCACGTGGCACTGGACAGGCACGCTTCCCCGCTGCCTGGAGCAAACCCTTCCCTCTTTTGTAAGAGAGCTAAGGGTAACAGTCGGCTGCAGTTGGGAGAGGGGAAAGCAGCATGCCAACACTCACCACAGGGACGTGTCGACTCTCACGGCCACGCTCCTGAAAGAGGTTAAAGTAACAAAAATGAGTCCCACTTTAATTCCTGTGGTGTAACCTACATGCTCATCTGCAAACTACTGAGGGAGAGCATGAGCTAGAGCAGAAAAATGGGTGGCTAAGAGGTAGGACATCCTTTCTAGCCAAAAGTTTCTTGCATTAAGTGCAGCGCCATCCCTGGATTTCAAGTAGGCTTCAGGTTGAGCTGGATCCAGGCTGCTTCATGAGAGTGTGAGGCTGTAGGCTTACAAGTAGGAGGACAGTGTCTCGAACAGCAACTCCCCTTCCAGGCTGAGTTAGCAGCCCATGTCTTATTAGAGCAGGAAGGTGTGAATCATTGGCTCTCCCAGCAACAGGGAATAACACCGAGAGGCAACTGCACTGACCATCAATATTAACAGCCCCGAGCTGCTCTTTTGTTCTCTCCGCACACTGAACTGGTCACGCAGTTCACAAATCCCTGTATGTTTTACTGGTTTTTTTTACAGAAACTACAAAATACAGTAAAAGGAGAGGGAGAGCAAACTTACCTCCACCTCCTGCATGGCCTGGATGTGAACGCCACAGCGACTCCCTCTCTCCATCAGCTCCTTCTCAAACGGGTCCATCAGGATGATGGAGCTCAGACCTGGCGTTTCTCTCCTCTCCACGTGGTCGAGGAGTGTTCTGGCTTTTTCAGGTTTGTCACAAATGACTGTGGAAATGTCAGCTGGAAGAGAAGCAGCCAAACAACTTGTTTACTGTAAATCTTCTTTAATGCAAGACTGGCTGCTGGCTCACAGCTAAGATTGCATCAGTTCTCCTATCAGAAATCTAGAATATAACATACATTTCCTCTTAGAAAATGACTGCAATTTTAGCTGGCTTAAAATCAATGCCGAAGCTGTAGCTGACATATACGATTATTCTGGGATTCAGTTCAAAACATTAAAATTGCTCACCATGTGGGCTAAAACTTGAGGCAAAATATGAAGCATCACAGGAGTGGGTGGCCCTGGAGTAATTCCCGTAGCCAGGGCCACCCCATCCATGGCTGTGCAGGACCAGGAGTGTGGAAAATGCAGCAGAGGCAGCCCTGACCCAGCATGAGGACACACAGCTCCCCAGAAACTTCTCTAAGTGACTGAGATACTCACTGAGTAAAATCACCCATCTTCTGGAAAGCAGAAGAAAACGAACCATTCCGAGCAACTGAACCGGTTCCTGAGTACATTACACTGATTTTGGTTTTACCTGTGTTGACGATGTAACGAATGGCTCCAGGACCCAAGGTGTCGTAGAGGGGAACCACCACCATGGAGTAGGTGTAGCAAGCCAGCTCAGAAATGATCCACTGCAGGAGACACCAAAGCATGAAGGTGAGAAGGGCCATGGGAGCAGAGGTAACACTTGAGAACAAGCTTCAAGTATAAAGCAAGTTCACAAGTCAGGAAATATTATTAATACAGCATCATGTTGACTTTAATATCTCACCTCTGGACGATTTTGGGCAAAGACCCCAATGAACTGCTTTGTGGATGGCTTGCAGCCCTGCAGAATAAGCCCTGAACCCAGAGCTTCTGCTCTTTCAGCCACCTGGAATTAGGAGAGAGGAAAAAAAAAAAGAAAACCCATACATAAAAAAAGAGAAATATAAGCAACACCAAATTAAGCAAAGACTTAGCTTACACAGGGAGGCTCTCAAATTATTCTATTTGCTGTCTGAAAGTCCAATTTTTTTACGTTATCATGAGCCCTCAGTAGCTGACCAGCAGCTGACCTCTGGTTGGCAGTGCTCTGTGGCTTCGAGTGCATCAGTGCCGCTGCGCAGAGTGGGCTAACAGCATTGAGCCCATCCCCAAAAGCCAACACACCCGTACAACGCCGGGATGCTCCCAACTGGGGAGCTAAGAGCCCCCGCACGGCATGTTAGCAACTTCCCGGTCTAGCACATGCGCGTTACCGACGGGCTCCTTAAAACCCCCTTCTCCTGCCAGGCAGGGTGAGAGCATGGGGCGGAGAGGACTCTGCCAATTCCCGCTCACCTCCTTGTAGGCCAGCCACTGGTATGGCTGCTTGGACTTCCTGAACCCCAGGCAGGGACCATTTTCTGGAAGACACAAGCAGAGATGACGGAATTAAGGGGGGAATGCCAGGAGTGAACGTGCTGCCCGGTGCTGCGCTGCAGGGACACAGAGGAGCCTTTGGAGTAAACCCGTTCTTAGCGGGGCCTGCTCCTGCGGCTCAAGTCCCAGCAAGCCCTGTCAAATTAAACACAGAGTGTTTAAAAACTAAGGTGTTTATTTACCCTTGCCCTGCGGGGTGGAATATTCACAGTTCCACTGAGGCTTTTGGTGGCACCGAAAACAATAATCTGACGATGACTTTGTTGTGCTCAACGAGGTAGGATGTCGTAAGCAGCACAGAAATAGTTACGATAGAGCAGGGAAGAGTCATCATGGCTTTTTGGAGTGGGAAACAATGTCCCACAGGTGTGTGAGAGCTCTTTGATGGTACCATCGATCATGGGGTTAAGGGCGATGGGGTGATACACCACACTCAACTTTCCCAAGAGCCTTTGGCACAGTCCCTCCCCTGCCCTGCTGTGGGATACAGGGGAACTGGGAGAGTTGCGGATGAAAAGGCAGCAACGAGCATAAACAAGGAGTATTTGCAGCTGAGGAAGAGCTCTGTTGGTCTCCAAAATTCTATGCCCGGATCCTTTTGCTGGGCCTCCCACTCCATGGTCGTCTCAACTTTCTCCCACCCACACCTTTTTGGCATCCCACACTCATTTGACCTTCTACAATTCTCACATTTTTTGGGCCTTTTCTCTGCTCCAGCCATATATTTTACTGGGGCTTCCCACATTCTGGTGGCCTCCCATGCTCCTTTCACCTTTGAATCCGAATGGGCCTCTACCCCACGTGGGCCTCCCATACTTTTTTCAGCTCCCACGCTTTCAGCTTCTACACTCTGAGCCTCCCACACCATTTGGGCCTCTACATCATCTGGTCCTCCACCTCTCCTTGCCTCTGCTCCCAAGCTTCCTCGACCTCATGCTCTCACCAGAGATGCTGAATCCCCTCCTGAAGACCTCGTACATGGTCCTGGCATCATCGTAGTAGTGTGTCAGCAGCTCCGGGCTGTCCCCAATCACCGATCGGCGTGCTCCAGCCAGACCCTGCGTGACACGATGTGACAGAGCAGGGCATGGAGAAACCCCCAGCCATAAAACAGTACGTTCCCCAAATGTCACAGAAACTGGCACCGTGTTCCTGCCCCAACACCCAAGGGGATGGGAGAGGTGGGACGTCCCCCTTGACACCTCTAACACAGAGAACCATCTGCCCAGAGAGGAGCACCTGACCCGGCTCTTTGTCATAGGAAGTGGTTGACATTTCCCAGGGGGATTTGAGAAGGAATTATAGGTCAGCAGGTAACGGAGCGGGGATGCACTGGGCTCCACAGCTCCCCAGCACCGGCACCATGGGCACCTCCTCAAGGACATCTGGACCAATAGGGAGGCCAGCCTAAAGCAGAGGCCAACTGCAGACCCCAGTGCAGGGGTTCAGTGGGGGCGTTTGAGGGGTGAGCAAGGAGGGGTGGGGCAGGCAGGGTGAGAGCGACTGAACCAAGACTGCGCTCTGAGCCAGAACAACATCTCACTGAAGTCCTAACCACAGGGAAAAAACTGTTGGAGAATGGAAATTCCTCCCACCCTTTTAAAAGGTTGTTGGAATAAAAGGGGACATCACCAAAGGCTTTAAGAATTCTCATCACACTTTCAGATATCCATTTAAGTGGAAACAATTTCCAGAAATATTTCTGCTCTTTAAAACAGAGCAGCTTCATTAAACTTTAAAACCTTTTGCAAGCAGGAAAATTAATAACTCCTCAGCCTCTAAGCATGGATTCGGGTCTACTTTTTCTTATTGTTACAGAGTTTGCAGCAGCAAAGTCAGCAAAGGGCCCCCACAAGCAGTGCCAGCTCACCACATCTGTCAGCGATGTCTCCCATGCAATGGCAGCTCCCACAATTTTTGGTCATGGATGGTTAAATGAAGCAATGTTACTGAAAATCTATGAGAATAAATTAACAGGCTGCATTCTAGTTTTCCAGTTTCCAGAAGAAGGTGGATCAAGGAGTGAAGTGATCCCTGGCACAGCGCATTGCACGACTGATTCCAGGATGAGGTTGGAGAGCCCTCAAAACCAGCAAAAGCACCTGCTGGCATCCCCTGCCGTCATTCCCACTCATGCAAAACCTCATGCAACACCCAGCCTCTCCCCCCGGCGTGCCCTTGGCCTCACCTCGACTTCCTCCGACTGCATCCGCAGGTCGCAGGGCGGCTTCACAGGCCTGGGCCGGCTGGCGAACCAGTAGGCAACGACAGCCGCAAAGGCACCGATGCCCACCAGCGCCGTGGCCGGCAGGTTGCGGAAGAACTGGCTGAGGTCATCGAACTCGGGGAGCCGCAGGCTGCGCAGGATCTCTTGAGCCTGCATCTTCTCCACCAGCGACACGGCAAACTCTGCAAGAGGCAGAGGGACGATGTCAGGCCACGCTGCGGGACGGGCATTGCGGGTCTCTGCACAGCTTGGGAATGAGGAGGATGCGCTTTCCCTTGTCAGCTGTTGCCAACACATGGAGGGGCTGCCTACCCACAACCACCTTGAGAACAGCATCTATGGAAGAGACACTAGAAAGAAGGAAACATCCCTGCGAGAGTGGACAGGAGCAGACAGCTCAGCCCTAAAGGACAACCGGGTTCAAATGTACATTAGGCAACGCAGCTGTGGTTATCTGTGGCAGAGATGCTGTGACAGGCTCTGGGATCCAGCTACGACTGTTCCCTCAGGGCTGCCAGGAGCTTGCTCGGCCTTCTCTCAGCTGGACAGGAGCTGCGTCGTGGCCGCAGCCCCTTTCAGGGCCAGGCAGCATGACGCCAGCCCTGGTCACAAGCCCTTGGCTCACACGGTGATGGACAAAGCCAGTGTGACTGTGTGCAGAACCCTGTGCAGACATGCTCCAAAACACCACTTTCTGCCTTTATGCCAGCTTCACTTTCTCATTTTGAGTGCCTCGTGGTTTACGTCAGGGTAAATTATAGGTGATTCAAGCCAAGGAAAATTTCATTTCATCACTTAAATCTTTCCTGGAAGAAAGAAAAAGGGACTGCAGAGCAGGATAAGGGAGTGCTGGGGTATGGGGCTAAAAGATGCCATGGCAGGGTCCCCCCCTGCCACGGGGACATGATGCCTCAGAGTTCCACAGGGGTGATGGGTGACTCCTGGGAGGGAGAAGTGCCAGGGCATTCCCCATCAGGCAGTCCCGCAGGCTGCAGTCCTGGAACGAGAAAAGGACTGGAGCCTCAGCTCCTTGGGTGCAGTGGGGCTGCTGGGGACCCCCAGCCCCCACCCCTGCTGCCAGCCCTGAAATGGAAAGCAAAGAGAAAACCTTCTCTCCTTTTCTTTAAAGGGGGCTTTGCACAGAGGAACCAAGCAAAGGGACACGTTTGATGACACGAGATGGCAACACTCTGCCATCCCCAACTCATTCCCTTTATACCTGCCGGAATCACTTTGCTGTGGGCACAGGGAAAGGTGGCTCCCGGATGGATGGTCTGGCTTGTGCCGGACTAATGGAGTGAAGCTACTCTCTGGGAAAGCAGAGAGCAACCAGCTGAGCAGTCACCTTGCCAAACACACCCGCTGAAGGTTGCCTTACTCTCCTCTTTTGTAGCCACTGGAGAGAGGAACCCGGCACCTGGCTCGCTGCTCCTGGGGTGCAAGGCAAGGCTGTCCCTGGGGGACTTGTGTTTGGGTGCTGAGCAGACAAACAGCATTTTAAGTAACTGGTATTTACAAGTAACAGCCCAGTAACATCTCCTGGCCAGGGAGACCCCAGTAACTGCCACCCCTCTGAGGGACAAGCCAAGTAGGTACTGCAGAGGAGCGGATCCAAACAGTTAAGGTTTCCCGTTAAGCCCCACAGCCCTATTTATGACTTTTCCAGCAGTCAAGATCTTAAAAGAAAAAAGCTTTTCTGCCACAGGAGCCTAGGCAGCCCCTTGCCTCTCGCCCTCTGGCCTCACTCCAGCCTGCAGAGCCACTGAGAGATCAATGGAGGGGCTTCACTCCCATGAGAGGGCCAGAACTTCCCGCACAATGGCACCACTGATGTTAACACTAACCAGCTTTCTTCCTCCTGGGAACAGTGTCTGGGTTATGCTGAAGGTCAGGACTACCCTCTCACAGCCTTTTCCCGTATTTGTGCCTAGTGAGCTCCGGAGGCCAGCGCAGGCCAGTCTGCAAATGGGGTCACCCCTCCCACAAGGCTCTGGAGGAGGGAGTTACATTTCCACAAGCAAAAAGCCACAGTGGACAATTAAACTCACCCACTGTCAGGCTACAACATGGTTGGGGGCAGCAGGGAGGGGTGGTAGTGACACAGAACCCATGTTTAGGGCTGTCTCCCACCGGTGGGCTCTGGCCCAGATGCTGCATCCTGCTGCCAGCCTGGCATCCCACAGCCACCTCTGCTCCCACAGAAGTTCCCAACTGTGCAAATCCCCTGGGACCACAACCAGCCCCTCCAAGAATGGCTGCAATGATCACAGCAAATGAAACTCATCCAGATGATATTACCGGGCAATACCCACCCACGGGGTTATTTTCTCCTGAGCTTTGGGCAGCTTTCCAGAAATCTGCACACCTGATAAAGTATTGACTACGTAGCTGCAGTGATGTTAGGATGAGCTGAGGCAGAATGCTGTTTTTCCCCTCGATATTTCTCCTCATCAGGCTATGAAAAGCTGCTAGCCAAACACGCTTTCACTAGCAAACTACAAAAAGTTTAAGAGCTCAGTGATGGAACTATTCATTTACTGATGAATTAGTGATTTGTGCCAAAGCATTTCAGCAAGTCCCACTCAAAACTGTCTGCTCCAGCCTGTCCCACCAAAGGTAGTCACACAATCTGCCACAGTTACTGGTTACACTGAAATCTTGAGGATGAATCCCTCAAAATCAGCCTGTGAGCAGTGTTTTGCGTTCGTCTGTGCAGCCAAGCTGGAAGCCAGGAAGGTGCTCGTGGGACCAGGGAAGCAGTGGCATGGGAGGATGGCTTGGCCACAGCCACATGCTTCTGCCCTGTTCGGCTGTAGCTATTGCCTGGGGTGCACCAGGGCCAGGCCTTTATGCCCGGGTACAGGGCACCTACGGACATCTGGAGCTCGTAGCACACTCAAAAGGATTGTGAGAGCCAGGGTTGCAATAAAAAGAACAAGTGTTGGAAGACAGAGCGGGAATAAAAGTACTTCTTGTTAGTGACTCGTTTTAAGTACGTCACAGGGCACCTCAGGGGGCGCCACAGCGATGGGGATGTCAGTAACAGCAAACAATACCAGAAAATACACTTGGAAGCACAAATCTATTTAGTTTCCACGCAAACGCAGTGTCAAGTGTGCTGGATCCCTGGGAGAGCTAAGTAGAAGAGCTAATGGTAAGGAGAAGGTTCATACTCATCTGCTTATGTTTTCTCACTTTCACTTAATAATCCAAGTTCAATGAAGACTAAACATATACATTAAGAACACGATCCTGTTCTCAAGGGTGAGCTTACCCAGTCAAGGGAAGTTCCCAGCACCTCTGAATCCTCTTATCCAACCCGAGACCTGTAACTTCAGTCACTGACCCCCGTTTCTGGTCACATTTGATTTTTGCACTACAAAGCTCATCCACCTTGGCTTTTGGGATGGAAAAAAATCAAGATTAAGTGTTGCAAAGTGATTCATGATCAGCCCGTACTTGATCTGCTCGGCACAGCAAACCTGCCTTGGGAAGGTGGCCAGGAAAGGAGCCCAGAGGTGTTTAGGAGGAGCAGCACAGTCCAGAGGGGGAACACCCTGGCACCCTCCTACCCCTGCGGAGGCTGGTTCTCCCCACCTGTAGTCACCTTGCAGTCACATACCCTCCATTAATATATTTCTCATGTGATCAGGAATATTAACAATAATTAAGTAGAGCCAGCACAGTTGGGCTGGGCTTCCCACCAGTGAGGCGTCACACCCCGGAGTGTACCATGAGCAGCTCCCATCACCTCGATCCCAGGAGGTCTCCCTCCTCCACACCCTTTCTCCAGCGGTTTTGCCCCATTTCTGTTACTGCAGTGAACCCACTGTGGTCCGTGCTCCCCCCAAGCAACTGGCCCCGGGTGCAAGCGAGCGAGCGGAGCACAGCATCCCTGAATGTGGAAACACTGACATATTCCATTTATTCCAAGTGGGACTTCGCATTACTGCCGGATTTCTAAAGTATTCCCACGGCAGAGAAAAGAGACACAAACACGCCGGGGGCGCAGAAGGAAGTGGTTTTGAGAAAGGAAGCAGTGTTGGTGAGCTGCTAGGGGGAAGAGCCATGGGCGAGAGCCTGGGGCTGCGGGAATCGGACTGCACGCCTGAAACCTCCCCCGCCCAGAGTTTGGGGAGAGCAGGGCTTCCACAGCCAGACTTTGGGCAGCTAGGAGTGACGGGGGGCTGTGAATCACCGACCAGCCTCTGTTAACAGCCCATCACCATGGGCACAATGCTTATTTATTTATTTTTAGATACAAATGCTACTATTGTGCGGTTTGGTTTTCATCTTTTCCTGCTGGAAGCAATCCTGTAACCCCAGTGTGGTCAGTGGAGCTTTAGTGACATAAACCAGTTTGGGAACAGGCTCAAACTACTGGTGTATGCATAATGCAATTAAAATTGTACCCATCCCGTGCAGCGGTGCAGTCACATCCTTCCTACCATTACATCACCGCTCGGACGCCTGCTTGGGAAGGAGAACTCCTCCTGAGATGCCTTTATCCTCCTGCCCACCGCGCTTTCCCAGCAGGGTAGGGAAGAGGCGGACGATTCATTTTATGTTGGAAACTGAGCAAAATGTCTAATTACTATCCCTATATTCAAATGAAAAAAGGGCTATTTATGCTTATAGCACTAAACCTAAATCAAATAAACAGCTTTTCAGTCTGAGAGAATTAACCACTTGCAGTGGGGAGCTACGAGCAGCAGCCTGATGGCTCAGAGCCTGCAGACCCACGGCTTCGCTCCCCGCAAGTGGAACATCCCCGTCAGCCGGCGCTCAACGCAGATCCGTGTCCCTGGCTACGGCACCGGCTGCTCACTCATTTCCCCGAGGAAACAGAATTTACAGGATCTAAAACATCTCAATCCAGAGAGGCAGATTTAGAGGGATTTCACTCAAATGAAACAGTGGGAGCTTTCTGAATGCTTGAAGCTGTGTTTTCTCACGTTCAGCTCTGCAGACCCCAGGCTCTGAGATTTGTCGTTGCTTTCTTGAAGCAGGGTTGGTGACAGAAGATTTGCATAAGGAAGGGCCCAGCAAAATTCAGACCGTTCTCCCTTACCTTCCCCTGCAGAATTAAGACACGATCAGAGCGCTCTGTACACAAAGTTGGGGTGGCTGAGATGAGGGTTCAGATCATCTTGTGCCTAGGTCTCCATCCACAGAG